AGGTGAGGCAAAACATACAAAAGGAAAAGCTTTCTGTCACTGTGATCCATCCACAGGTAGAATAGCCGTCCTGTAGCCAGCAGCCGTCTCCCTGTAGTTTCACGTTCTCCATCTTAGTTTTTTATACACATCCAGTGGAGCTCCTAACCTCTGTAGTATCCTGAGAACTCATACTCATTCAGCGATGTTAGCTCCACCCCAGTGAAGTAGATGAGAAATGGAAGTGCAACGTTCTTTTAATGGATGACGTTAGAATAATGTGTTACGTTAGGCCACCACTCGTTTGAGGAACATTCGCTGAAGCATCAAACATCATCTCATCATGGAGAGGGCCACATACAAACACAAGCTGAAAGGAAAGGTACCCTTGTTAGCTGTAGTGGTTAGAAGTGCATTTTGTGGTAGAACTGCATCGGGTGGCTTAGGTCGATATATGTGGAAGGCTTGAAATGCAAGAGATATAAGTCGCACGTGATGTGTTTTATAAATTGGAGCTTATCTTCCTGACACAATGACTTGTGAGCTCATGAAAGGTGTTACATGTGATTGCGGGACTTTTTCATAGTCTGATCTATAATTAACTCTTTTTTTATGTTCATTTGTTAGGGTGAGTTTTTCTTAATAAAAAGAAAACAGAACCAAAGAAAAATCCCATTTTGGACTATTTTGGCGCATTTGCCGCACAATAAATTCATAAATGAAGTTTGTAGATGTACAGAAAATGTATTTATTGTCTACTATGTAGTGTTTAAAGGATCTATGCCAATAGTTTTTCCTTTATTTAGTATGAACTGTAATGATTTTCAAGAAAAAAATATTTGACTTGCTCACAAGCAAAAGTATTTATACAATCTTCAAAAAAAAATAAAAATAAAAATTGTCCCTGAAAAAGATGGAGGAAAATCACTTGCCTTTCAGGGCTTCAGTAGATTTACCCACAAGTTACACCTTGTAAAAATGTATGAAAGTAAAATTAATCTTCTTTTGGTATTGTTATTTTTGTATTAACAATAAAATTGATGGGTTAGACCAGCACACATCTGTGGAACATGGACATGTAATTCAGAGCCAGACATCATCTCAGCATGGAGAGGAGAGAAAAGGTAACGCACTTCTACTATTAAGAGCATGATAATGTTTTCTGAAAGGCTGCCAAAAAAAAAAAACATCTTAAAGTGGTGTATTATTTTCATGATAGCTGTGTCAACCCCTCACAAATCCAATGGACATGTTCATGAGACTCATGGCCACCAAACGGCAACAGATGAGCAAAGGCACAGTGATACTCAGAAAGCAGGTATCTATTCAGTTTGTGTTCTTTTACGGTGGTTTCCTTATATTGGAGTGCGTGCCTACTAGAAACAGCAAAAGTGGATGTGAATGTTTGCTGCCTATATTAATGAACATTATTGCATCAGTCTCCCAGATGCATGAGAGTCTCGCACAAGGCCACAAAACAGCAGCCTCACATGGACATGGAGAGGAGGGGCATGGACACAATAAAGTAGAAAGGACAGGTATACAAGTGTGGATGTAATAATCTGAAGCTGGACTGATGGAAACATCAGAGAGAGCAAACAGCCTGCCCCTTTTTTTTTTTTTTTTTTTTTTTTTTTGCTTTTTGCTACATCAGAACCACAAACTTTAATGTCTTTATTGGGATTTCACGTGACGGAGCCACAGCAATTAGTGCGTAGCTGTGAACCAGAGGGGAAACAGACACAGATTTTGACAGTTTTTACAGATAAAAATAGGAAATGTGCATAATGTATTATATTTGCCCATTCTTCTTTGCGAATAAGCTCGAGTTCAGTCAAATTGAAGAGTTTCTATAAACAATAATTGTTTATAGAAATTGAAAGTCTTGCCAAAGACTTTCAGCTGAATTGTAACTCATGAATAAGTAACCTAAGCTGCAGCTCTGGCTGCGTGTTGCCAACCTCATAGGTGAACCTCTAATCCCATTCCAGTTAATTACTGCTGGGTATCATCCAGTATTCGTCTCTCCATCAGCTCTGACACGCTGCATAATGCTGCCACCACCATGTTTCACAGTGGGTCTGGTAGTTCTCTGATGTGCTTGTATTAGATTTTGGTCTGCTGTAGCCAGAGCACCATCTTTCACATGTGCTCCACATGGATTGTCGCAAACGGCTCGTGACGTTCTTTTAACAGGGACACAAAAAAAAACAACAAAAAAAACACTGATAAAAAGGTCAGATTTGTTGTTGTGTTAAAAGATTTTTCCAGCTGAGCTGGGCTGAGATTTACGTACACCGGGTCACTCGGCTGCCTGTCTGAGTAATGCACCCGTTGCCAGGCACGTCAGTTTTAGTGGTCAACTCTGCATCCTTTTCCTTTCACTGTATTTGTATGTGCTACTTTTTATGTGGGTCTGTTATTAAATTAATTCCACTAAAATACACTGACGTTTGAGGTTGTAACAAAGTAAGTAAAAGCTGAAGATGTGTGAATGATTTCTCAAGGCACTGCAAGTTTATAAAAATGATCTGAAGTCTTAGTTAGGAAATAATAGCATACTTTTTAAAAGTAGGTGCTGTGTGATTTTTAAATTATATATCACAATGTTAGGCAAATAAATATACAATATGATGCCGCTGGAACCTTAGAAGTGTAAGAAGGAAACACTTTGCTTCTCCTCTAAATATTAAATGATTTATTTTAGATCCCCACAAGCCCAGTGGACACGTACATGATGCTCATGGTCACATATCGGCAACCCCACATGGGCGTGGAGAAGAGGGGCGCACACACACAAACACTGAAAGGACAGGTACATAGAAAGCAGGGATAATTGAGTTGAAAACTCTAATGTTACTATCAGCTTACAGAAAATAACTGAGAATTAAAGGTGCAAAAGGTAGATCTTTACTCAGGCATTTACTCGTAAGCTAAATGAAAGCATGTATTTCAGATCCTCATGAGTCTCATACTGTTGTACATCATGGCCACAAATCGACTACCTCACACGGACATGGAGCGATGGAGCACGCACACGCAAAAGTTGGAAGTACAGGTAAACTTTTAGATGGATGGTTAAAAGATTTTGTAAATTTTTCCAAAACTTTGAGGTCATACACATTTACAAAACATGCCCTATAAAGAGTTAAAAACTGCAAAAAGCAGATATAGTTTGTGTTTGTTTTTGTTTGTTTTTTTTATCTGGTATTTTATTGACAATTATTATTTCAGATGCTCATGTGTCTCACACCCATGTGCATCACGGTCAGAACCCCCCAGGCTCACACGGGCACGGAAAGACAGAGCTCTCCCACGGACGAGTTGAAGCGATTGAAACGACAGGTATAGCTGTTAGACGGAGTAGACGTTATTCTCTTGAAATCAAATAATGTACGATATGCATCAGATACGTTAGCAAAAGGGGGAGGAAAAATAAGGACAATGGTTGTGCAGACTTGTCATCTTGTTGACGATGCTTATTTCAGATCCTCCGGCGTCTCATGGACACAGACATGAGACGCACGGTCACAAATCGGCAGCCTCACATGGACACGGACATGAGACGGACACACACAGAAAAGTTGAAGTGACAGGTACACTTACTAGATTTATTCAAAGATTAGGTCATGGAAACGTCATGTTGGTACATACGAAAAATAAAAATAAAAGCTAAAATCAATTAGAAACTGAGGAAAGATATCTTTAGAGAGTTTTCTTTGAGACCTTAATAAATAAAAATGTTAATTCCAGGCCATGACAAGTCCCTCGGACATGAGGCTCATGGCCACAGTTCAACAACCTCTCATGGACACGGAGAGGAGGAGCACACACCCAGACATGTTGAAATGACAGGTAGAGCTGTTAGACACAGCATAATGCAAAAGTATTCAAAACCCTTGACCTTTTAATATATATTTTGTAACATTATAACCAGAAAATTTACAACTGTAGCTGCAAGTTGACAAAATGTAAAAAAGCTTGAGACATATGAATACTTTTGCAACATCTTATTGTTGTGGTAGTTTAATAGATCAAGCACAAAAGTGAAAAGAAAAAGAAAAAAAGCTACAAAAACTAACGCACAAAAACAAGTAGCGATGTACAACAGACGTTTATTTGTAATCTCAATAAGATTATTGATTCCAGATGCTTCCAAGTCCCATGGACATGGACAAGAGATTCATGGCCACAAATCAGAGCATGGAGAGGCGCAGCATAGCCCAGGTACCACTTGGTTCTACATAGAGTATAGCATAGCATAGGATAGAATAGTTCCTCATTAGTTACATTTGGAATCTCGTAATAATAACAAAAAAATGTTGTTTCTGGTTGTGAAGACCCTCATAAGTCTGAAGAACATGGCCACCAATCCGCATCATTTGCACATCCACAAAGTGGAGGGCACGGGGAAACTCACAGGACAGGTGTCTGTTTTTACACGCCGTTATAGAGATCCTCCTATGAATCAACGTAAGAGCTTTACTTACATCTCTGCTGACAATGGCATTTCAGTCGCACATGGTTTTGAGGAGCACGCACACAGCACTCACGGCCACAAAGCACCAATCCCATCGCGGCGCGGGGAGGACAGGGAGGACGCTCACGGCCACAGGAGGGCTGAAAATGAAGGTACTTCGATTTTATGCAGTCATTGCGACGCGCTCGTAGATTTACAGTAGCTATGAATGCTACATTACATGTGAGGCAGCGGAAGCGGAGTAGATAAACATTGACAACAAATTAGGCTTGGCAGCTCACAGTGAGATGGGAAAATGCATCTAAACTTATTTCTTCTACTGAATAATGACCTGTCAGTCAACATGAGCAATACTGCTAAATCTTGATCTGGTAGTAATAGTAGTGCCACATTATTTTATGAAAGGCCTTTAGTGATGTTGAAGGCAAGAAGTAAAAAAAAAACTGCCTGCTATATGAAGTAAAGGTACAATATGCAGCTTTACTCTAATCAGAATGTTGTAAGCATTTGGTATTGCCTTTTTTATTATTATTATAATCGATGTCAATAATTTTTTACTCACAAATCTGTGAATGATCCTGACTTTAGTGTTTCGCGCTATAGTGTCAAGAAAAGTATTTGCCCACTTTCAGATTTATTTCCGTTTCTATTTAAGTGAAACACACTTAAATGTTTCAGATTGTAAAAAAGAAAGAAAGAAAGAAAGAATAATTATGATTCATTTGTCATGGTACAAGCTACTCAAACCTACCTTTCCCTACTTGGGAACGTATTTGCCTCCTAAACCCAATAGCAAGGAGCCATCTACTCCGCTGTCAAGGAGTTTTGGCTCACCGCTCTCTGAAACATAGTTATAATTTAGCCATGTTGCAAGCGTGAGCAGTCTATTCAAGTTTATGCTGCAGTCACAGTCTAGACTTTTTCATTTTTGTTTTCCAAGTGTTTCAAAGGTGGACTTCATGGTGTCATTCAGATCAATGACCAACTTCATGACCCAGCTTAAAGCCCCAAACTGGACAGACATTCAGGTTTTCCATTGTGGTTTAGAGCACAAGTCATGGTTATCTGTAGTCACAGTAAGTCAGCAACATTATGCCAGCATTCAACATGTTTGAATGTTGGTGTAATATTTTGCCAAAAGTCCTGGGGGTCATTAGGTGTGACGAAGAAGATGGTTGTAGCAATTTCCACACTGGTGGATGTCAGAGATTTTTTCTTTTTCCATTTGTTGTTGGATTTCTGTAGGTCAAAGCATGATGACTTGCTTTTGGAGATCTTTCAGCCTGCTTATTGGTGTCAACCTCATTTTTTGATTCTGGCAGTAATAAAGTGTCTGTATGTCCAGTAAAGTTAAAACTTAACTGACAAAAAAAAAAAAAAAAACGAAGTAATTACCAAAGGGGCAAATTATTTTGTTCGGTAAACCACTCCTGATTTAAACCCTGCTGAACGAATATAAATTGATTTTTTTGAGTGGTGGTTCATTTGTAGAGCACAGTATCGTTGTAAACCACGGGAGAGGAGGAGGTGGTCACGGAACCATAAGGCACGGTGTTCGGAAAGAAGACGACGAGGACAAAGAAAGAAGGAAAAAGAAAGGTAGAACCCTCTATCGATGTAGTCGCGCAGCGGTTCGTAACTGGTTGCACATATTGATTACACAGCTGAGGCAGCTTATTGTTTTTTCTGTTACTATTTGTTAGCTGTATTTGTGCTGAAGTGAGGCTCCCGGTCCTGCTTACGGTCTAGGAGTTCAGTTTCTTATCGTCCCATGAATGCTGGTGTATAAAAACACATGTAATGAGTTGTTAGCATGAAGAAATGAAGTGCGTTTTTGAAACATCTCAATCTGCTGCGTGAATTAACAACCTCTTATTACGGTTGTTAATTTTAAAGTGTGACATTGCTAAGGGACAAAGTATAAGCTGTGCTTGCTGTGAAGTCACTTCTGACGGTCAAACTATGGACGCTGTGATATCGAGACTGGAGGGAGCGTTTTTAAAGTTCTCCATCTTCTCAAGTGAAGCTGGGAATTTTGACGACTTCCCGTCAACACCCAAGAAACTTTAAACAAGTTCCACTATTGGTTTCCGGCTTTTTAGTTTGTTTCAGAATAACAATTTGCACACATTACTACATCGCCTTTTCAACCAAATCAAAGCATATTTTGTAACTAGAAAGCAACACAAGACATTTCTTTATCAATTTTTCTTTTTCAATTATGTCCAACCAGTAAAGAACTCTGCAGTAGTTATAGAGTCCGTCAGCTTTGCAGAACAAATTACAACCCATTTTCCCAGGTAGACTTACATTTTAATCCCAAACACCTAATCTATTAGGTTCCTCTGTAGAGTCCTGTGTTGTTCTGACGCCGTCCTCTAGGCTATGCAGACTCCAGCTGTGAGAATGTAAAGTGCAGTAGAAGACTGTGGCATGGTGAATGGCATGAATCTTAAACACAGGTTCCTTCATTTCCCCAAAGGGCTTCTGAAACTCCTGATCTCAGGAGAGCCTCAGGTCAAACAGTTACTCGGGATCATATATGACAGTTTTAAAGGTAAGAGGCCGACATTCTTAGCATCGGGTCCGAAGGACAAGTATTATATCTCGATGTGCCTTCTGGATTCTTTGGTGTTAAAGTTTGTGGGGAAAAATTCCTTCGCCTTGCTCCATCTTTTTCATCTGTCCCTCTTTGTCCACTCCTTCCCTCTGCGCTCGCTCCCCTCTCATGGCTGTGTTCACTTTGTGCTCACGATTAAGGTAAGGAGATGCACTTTGTGTTCATGCTGCTGTTCAAACACCTGCTAGTTGTTCACATTTATTTTTTCTTTTCTGAAAGGGACGCTTGTTTGGAAAACGTGCAATCGTCGCTTTAAACTCGCAACAGTTTTCTCTCACTGTGACCTTTCACTGTTAACCATTCACAACTGATAAATACCAACAAACCAGCATCTTGACTCATAACGCTAATTTGAGGAAGAATGTCCCATTGCCTTTCCAGTCTGGAAAGTAATTGGCCATTTATATTTAATTAGGCAGGTCTCCCCTACTGCTTGCACGGTTCCCTCAGTGCTGAGAGAGGCACTTTATGGTTCTCCTTGCGTTGGCTTCCTTTAAACCGGCTCATTAATATTTTAGCTGGCATCATCAGCCGAACAATAATAAAATAATAATGTGACGGCTGATTAAACAGCTAAACTCCGACTTTTTAATGTGCATTTAAATGTGTATTTCCATAAACATGCCCGGTAAACGCCTCTTTAGAGGACAGTGATGCCTTGCAGCACATCACTGCAGCCAACTTCTGAAGCTTAATAAAAGCTTAATTAGGAAGTGGCCTCAGCCAAGATAATCAGCCAGCGTGGAGCATCGCTGCTCCACCGACGGCTGCACCGCCTCTGCACAACGCAGGCACCTCTGTTCCTAATGTCATTAATCTCTCTATGAAGAGAAATTATTCCAATCGTTACACAATTTCACTTTTTTTTGTTGTTGTTGTTTCGGCTCGTGTTGCTGTGACGGACTGGCGACCTGCAAAGGGTGTACTCTGCCTCTCGCCCCAGTTACAGCTGCAGATGAGAGCTGCGATTGTGTCACTGGCGCCACCTTGACGTTGAGAACCTGTCCTCAAAAAGCAGCTGCAAGATCACTAACTTTAAATAATCTACCGGCTAATCTACTGTTTAATTATAGCACACAGAGTTGTGGCAGTGTACAAACACACACAGAAGAAATTAAATTTATATATATTTTTTCACAGACAATGTATTTTTACATACCGTTTTATGCAACATGTCTTTATTGTCAAAGTTGTAAATGTTGCATTCATATCAGCTCTTCTTTTTTCAGATATTTCACGTCAGCTGGATTGTTCAAACTATAGGTTTTAGTGAAAGTTGTTGGAGTCATATTGAATTGAAAATGAAGCATCATAGTCACTGGGCACAGGAAAATCAGAATACAATGATAAAAAAAAAATAACTGTTAGATCGAACAACAGCTTAATCAATGTGAAGCGGTACTTTGCACAGATTAATGCAAATGTTTCAGGGTCTCTATCCATAATAAACTCAAGCCAATTATTTACAGGAAGATTTACCATCTGCTGCATGTGGCGATTTTAATACTAAAAAAAAAAGTTCTAGTTAAATATATATTATATTAACCACACCGTGTTTTCATTAAGATGATAATTAATAAAGCCTTAATTTTGATCATTCTCAAGCTTTCATGACCGCTGGATCTCTCATGTCCCTCAAAGTGATTATAAAGTTGTTATTCCACGCATGAACGACCCATGGGTTTGATTTTAAGGAGAACAGGCTCGCTGAGGAGGACTGCCCCAAATGCATCTCATTTAAATTTCAGCTAGTTTTATCAAGCTCGTTTCGTTGCCTGTGCTCTCGACTGGACCCGTCACGCTAACGAGGGTCGGGCTGATTTCGCAAGTTTCCGCTTCGGGTCCAGAAACACCGACTGCATCCTTCGCTTCCGACTCCCCGGTTTATGATTTTGCGGCTTGTAATCGAGTCATCTGGTAACGTAATTAAATTCCCGGGCAGAATTAACATGCCTGAACCTACGCGAGATTAAATGCACGAGCACAAACAGTCGCCCGCAGAAACACACAGGATGGAATGGAGGAATTCCCCTCAGTAATCAGTGCAGCACACTGAAGCAGACTCAGCAAACCTGCGAGTGTGTGCTAATGGAGAGGGAGTGGTTTGTCTTTATGGAGCCAATATAGAGTGAGAGATGCGCCCCATAAAACACAAGCAGAGCAGTTTATTCTTCAAACTGACGCCTAACCCCCCGTTTGATGAATTGGTTAGAGCGGATCGGTTTGCACTTCTTCCTGCCGCCTTCGATGAAATCCCACCTCTTTCCCCATTTTGGTTATTTACACTTTGAAGTCAAAATATGAACCTGTTTTGCTTGGGAACCAAACCGAAATATGTCTCTTTTCATTCAGACTGTGAGTGCTACGGCCACTCCAACCGCTGCAGCTACATCGACTACCTGAACATCGTCACTTGTGTCAGCTGCAAGCACAACACCAGAGGCCAGAACTGCCAACACTGCAGACTGGGATACTTCCGCAACGCCTCTGCCGAACTGGATGATGAGAACGTCTGCATCGGTCAGTCTGCTGGGAGTCGATGGGAGTGTGTGCGGAGGGGCGGGGGGTCAGATCAACGTGTGTGTGTGTGTGTGTGTGTGTGTGTGTGTGTGTGTGTCAATATAGCAGCAGAGTGGGATTTTTTTCTGTCTAATAGAGGAGCACATAAAAGAATGCTTGTTTGAAAATTAACACAATTACTCATGTGGTTTTAAGCCGAGGAATAACTGGTCAGTATTGTGGATGGAGGATTAAATTTGAATGTACAAAAACAAACCAACAAACAAAAGAACCATTCTTACAATAAAACATATGACTGCTTGTCTGAAAATGATCTAAATTACACTGGACTGGTATAAATGTTGATTTTTTTTTTTTTTTTTTTTTTACTCTTTTTAGACCAATCTT